TTGGCCTGAATTTGTACTGTTAACCTCTTTATTTCCATATGTCCAGAGGGGAGAGAGGAGGAAGGTGTCTTTTGGAAGTGAAGTCGGTTTAATTTTGAGCAAGTGTCTTAGTTCTGTGTCCTAGTTGTCCTTAGTGTAAGCCTTAGAACTAGGAATTGTGACTTGCCGCAGGGTTGTCGTGAGCATAAGGTGGTAATGTACGTGAAACAACTTTGGGAGCCGTGAATGCTCCGGGTTATGTGTTAAGATAGTGACATCTCCTTTGCTCTGGGGGTGGTGGGTAGCCTCAGGCCTCAGAGGGACAGCACCCACTTGGTCCAAAGGCTATGAGCCAGGATTGTTTTTCTAAGCTGTCTGTGGTCAAAAGTACGTTCTGGACAGAGGAGGTGGATGATGTAACTGTGTGTATTGAAAAATCCTCTTTGCTCTTTGCTCTTTCCTCATTTCAGCCTTGTCCTTTCAGTCAAGTCAAATATTTATTAAGCATTTCTGAGTACAAAAATAGTGTATTAGAGAGTTGCAAAGGACACAGAAGTAAAGCTCCTGCCTGTATGGAGTGTGCGGTCTTGTTGAAGAGCAAGAACAAAATAAGTGTGTGTGAAGGGAGATGTCTGGTAAGTTCAGGTGGAGACCACAGCTGGGTGCTGGCTGGAGGGTTTCAGGAGAGAGAGCGGGAACTCTGGGCTGGAAGAATGAAAGAAGTCAGTCCAGGTTGAAGAATGTGGACAGTGTGGAGGGGTGGGGGAGGTTGATGGTGCTGGTTGGAGAGGAACACACTGAGCAGGTTGGAGGGTCTGACAGCAGGATCTGGGAGGGTCAGGAGTCACTGAGTAAGGAGGCTCTCACTAAGTAAGGAAGATTGATCTTTTAGTGGCATGTTCAGGACGGGTCAAAAAGGAGATCTAGGTGCCAGGTCAAGTTCCTTACACAAACTCTGAGCATTTTGTTTTTGCGGCTCAAATGAAAATGAAATTTGTTATTGACAGTAATTCTTGAACAGTTGGGCTGGAATGAGCAGATCACACACCTTGTTTTACTGTTAGACTAACCACATGGGGTTTGTCTCAGGGTAGTGGGAGGATAACGTGTTCTCTATTTCTGTAGTCTGACATACATAGTCAGCTCTTGACCGTACATTGCACATTGAAAGTTCTAGTTCATACTTATTTTTTTCTTTGATATGTGGGGTTGGGGAGAGCTAGTCTGTTATAAAGTCTAATTTTAGGTAATTGTTTCCACTTCTGCAAGGACGAGCCTTTTCACTTCAATCTTCCTTCTTTCTTATCTGGGGTTCCTTGTTGAAGTGCTAATTGTCAGTATTTTGACCATAAGGCAGCAGGTGTGAGGAGCCTGTTATCATCCACAAATGGAGTAATTAAATAATAGAAAGTAGGCTCTGTAAGTTAGAAAAACCTGTTTTCATCTTTATAAACAGCAGCCACCATGCTATTTCACTAAACTTTCTGCTTCCCT